TTACTATTGGTATTAACTTGTTTTCTTCTGCCATAGTCATTCTATTTCTATTTTCAGGTCTTCGTATTTTGTTATCTTTCCCAGTTCTTTCTATTCTGTTCTGTTCTGCTGTCTCCAGATATTGCCACATCCACCATTTATTATATACTGTTTCACTGACTTTTGGAGACAATCACCATGAGAGCATTGCATTGCAACCAGCAACCCATACCTTACGAAGCAAGACAACTAAATGAAATGTTTATAGTGAATTCTTAATGTTGACTTTGCAGTTTCCTATGAAGCTTCAGGGTTCACAGTTGCCTATTGGTTCTTGGCTTCTGAACCCCAGCTCTGAATCTTCCCTACTCTCTGTTTGGTACCTACCACCATTATAGCACCTACCACTATTTCCCATGCTTTAATTAAAGTAGGGAAGTAGGGTTGTCTTCTTTGTACAGTCCCTGGTATATTTTCTCCTGAAAAGCAAATGTAGTGAGCAAACACTTGGGCAAAATGATGACTCTCCTCTGGGTCAGCTGGATGGGCTTTCTATTTTCTTCCTTCCTCAGTTACAAAATCAGCAGTAAAAAAAAACTCTTACAGGTGCAAAACTGCTGTGGTGAATAGGAGGGCAAAACTAGTGGCTGAATGAAAGTGCCCTTTAATTGCATGAAAATAGGGACAAGATGAAGAAAAAGAAAAGCCAGACTCCTTCAGGGCAGCACAAAAATCACAATCCTTGTGAGAATAATGACAGTGTTACCGTCATTAGGGATAATGGCAACTACGTGCTTACAGGCAGAGGAGACGCCGTATTTGTTCTAAGGTTTTATTTCCTGGCTTTGTAAGTTTAACGTCAACCAGGAGTGATGCAGTTCAAAGGGGAGGGAGTAACCTCATTGTAGTCTTTTCATTTCATGGTTTTTTAAAAAGAGTTTATTCAATTATACTATACAGATAATAGGATTCATGTGCCTGACTTTGATATGATCAAAACTATACACAATGTTAACAAGGTTACCCTGATATGTTGATGAGGAGGAGAAAAAGGCTTTGTTTTTAATGATGGCAATTATTTTAATATAGGATACGTGTTATATTTAATAAAAGATAATCCTATGTATGCGATTTTTGAACCAATCTTTACAGCACCACTGATTTGTAGTCTAGTGCTGATTTCTACATTGATGATGCAAAGATTGGAGTCACTATGTGAAAATCCTCGTGGAATTTATGTTAGGATAGGAAGCATTATTGCATAAAGTACACCAGATGATTCGCATGGAGATCTGGGACAACCTCAGTGTTACTAGCTTGCTTAGTATTTTTTTGTTTAATTTTTGCTTTAGTAAAGGAAATATCAAAAACAATGAGCTAATTCCTCACTATAAATTCCAACTGAATAAGTCAACACTGTGTAAATTATTGAACCTTAAAGAGGAACAAAAGTCAAAGGTTCAATTTTTAATTCAGTATTTTATTAAATTCCACCTCACCCCATGGCTTTCTTCCAGTCAGTTGTTTCAAGAGTAATCAGAGCTGTAGTTGTTATCCCAAGACACGGAAGTTACTTCATTTCTTACCTAGAATTAAGAGATAATCAAAATATGAATCAAATATGATTCTCCTTAGGATCATATGCAAATTTCTCTATTCTATATCTTTTTGAAGTTCTCCATAGAGTCCCATTATGTAGGTTTTATTGATAATGTAATATAATTGACTTGAATAATTTGGAAACTTTGGTTAAAGCTTATCACGGGTAACTGTAATTTAGGTGCAATATTTGCACCATGGTCGAGTAAAAAATGATATGGGAGAGGGAAAAAGAAGTATAACCATTGAAAAAGTCATGGGCAATGTGTCTGATGATAGCTTGAAGTATGGATTTGATTTCCTAATCATAAACACTCTGGAGACTTACACCTTTTGTCACCTAGAAGTCCTTAGAATGGAAGATAGGAGAGGCAGTACAAATCTACAAAACTTTATCTAATCAGGTCACAGGAATTATTCTGCTCATTCAGGAACCCTTACTAATACTAGGCTAAAACTACAGATCTAACTGACATGTAAGATGCATTAAATAGCTCTTGTTTTAAATGAAATGTGTGTTACATGCAGTTGCCTGGATTATTCAGCACTTGATGATCACTTCTGTAGATTTGGCAAGAACAGACTATGGGTATAATGTATTCAATCATTTCTTCTTCTAGGGTTTTTCTTTTAAATTCAGTATGTAATTAATATATGTATATTTTTAAAGGATAACGGAATTAGTTGGATATCATCCTGAGGAGCTGCTGGGCCGTTCTGCGTATGAATTCTATCATGCACTGGATTCTGAGAGTATGACCAAAAGTCATCAAAACTGTAAGTCACCCTTAAAAACTATAATTATTAGGTGAAGCATGAGTTGAACATGACTCTAGTCAGCCAGGATAATCATCATCATCTTCACCATCATCATCATCATCTAGACTATGAGCCTTATGTCTCTTTCACAGAGGCTTGCATGTCAGGGACCCCAGTTGGAGATGTATTTCTACAGACATCTGTATAGAAGGCTATCTGTATGTCTCCAATTTCCTGTAAATGGTGTGATTTGGAAAATAATTAATGTTGAGAAACAATCCTTTCAAAAAATGACCATATTATTTAAGAAAACAAAAAGCTGAAAGAACCAAAAAAAAATTATAATAACTTGTGCATTACTGTTGTCACTATGGTCAGGAGAGAATGCAGATAGGCTTCCTGCACATTGGCAGGATTAAACAAATGTCTCCTTATTTGAGGGGGGGAGTTTTAGGTGTTAAACACCTATTTATCTATAAGCAAAAATTGGCAGTGCAATCAGAGGGAACCTCTGGTGTGGGATATGCTTAAATTGATAGGGGAGTTTCATGTGACTCTGAGGCCACTTTACCCATTGCTGAATTCAACTGTTTCCTCATTGTGGATAAAGGTTAATACATGTGTCTCAGGATAATGTTGCAAGATCCTATCTGAGCGGTCACCTAGTCTTCCAATCTTCCAAACTTTCTTACCAATGATTCGAACTCAACTCACATTGCAGTGAACAAGGACATTGCATTCAATTTTGCAACTACTATGATTGTTGGCTGAGCAGGGACAAAAACAGCCAGAAAAATGATTGAAGCCTGGGAAACAGGCCCCTTGTCAGTCAATATGAGTGCTGACTTACCTCTTGCCTAATAAGTACTTAGGAGTTGAGGATACAGTGGCAGAAGGCAACAACAATTAATGATATACTAACCAGTCATCAATACTCTAGTTCAGTGTTTTTCAACCTTTTTTGTGCAAAGGCACACTTTTTTCATGAAAAAAATCACGAGGCACACCACCATTAGAAAATGTTTAAAAAATTTAACTCTGTGCCTATATTGACTATATATAAAGTGTTTTTCCCACGGCACACCTTACACTATGTCACGGCACACTAGTGTGCCGCGGCACAGTGGTTGAAAAACACTGCTTTAGTTAACAATTAAAAGATGCACACAACAGGAACTGTATAAATATAACATGTAGAACAGTCATTGCACATATTCCAGAAAGAAAGAGAGAAGTTCCCTGATGATGAGCTAAAAACTTAGAAGAATAAATCTTTGGTCCTGGTGACCAACCCAGACTGGATCCTGTTTCATCATTCATCACATACAGACTTACCTATACATTTGCAGATATGCCACCATCCATGGCTTAGGGCCAGGTTATTTCTGTCCACCCAATTAAACTGGGCAGTGATGCGTTTCAGGTCTCTTGGATCAAACAATATCATCTATCAGGGCCAAGAAGCATTCCTTCTCAGTAATTGTGCTGCCCTTTGGAATGAGATACTGTATCCCCAGACATCCATTGGCTATCACCCTGATAATGTTCAGAGAGTCTTTCAAAATTTGGCTGTTGTTCCAGGTCCTCCAGTAGGATGCTTGTGGAGACCCTGTTGGTTATGTTTTAAGTTACAGGGAATATGCTTGTCTGTATATGTAGGATTTTCTACTTTAAGACCCCAGGGTCATTCTGTGCTCAGGTGTCCTCCAAATATCATAAATAAATAGATAAATAAATACTATTGCTTACTGTGGCTAACACTGCAATATGTCTGTAAGTGTTTAAAGCACCATAAAAGTAATTGCTGCTTTTAGCTTGTAATTAGAAAGTTAGTTTTTCTCAAGCAGAAAATAAATAAACAAAAACCTACCTTGATGTCATTAAAGTAAGAATGGTATTTGATAAATGTTATAAATGCTAACAGGAAATGGGTAAAATAATTTACCTATGTAAGGGATTTGGCAGTGGGTTTTGGGGGGGAAGGGGAAATACATAATGAAGAGCAAATGAAAAAGTAGAGGCTTTTATGAAACTATAAATAAACAAATAGCTGTGTGAAACATGTTACAGGAAAAGCAACCTAAAGAATTCATACATGGGTACCAATCTACTGAGTAATACAGTTATTAGAAACAGAAATAAAGGGGCTATTTAGGTCACTGAATCCAATCCCCTGCTCGGTGTTTTATAGAGGCGTGGCAGCTCGGTGGCTTAATGATGCTGGAGATGGTGTCTGCTCCAAAGGTTTGAGTCCTAGCACTGTGTGGCAGGGTGAGCTCTCATCACTCGCCTCAGCTTCTATCCACCTAACAGTTCAAAAGCATGTTCTGTGCAAATAGGTAAATTGGTACCACTTCAGTGGGAAGACGAGTTGGTGCTCCGTACAGGCAGGGAGATTTCTGCTCGCTCTGAACCTTTCCACTTGCAGCACCCATTTGCAAGACAGGTCCGAAGAAGAGAGGGACCTTCAATAACACTTCAGGAGAGCTGCTTGTCTTTCTTTCTGATGCAAAGCCAGCTTGCCCTCCTGTGGTGCACCTTGGGAAGCATGTGAGCATGTCCTACAATGGAGCTGGTAAATGGTCAGCCAAACTACTACTTTGTAATTGCATTGTGGTTTCCAGGGTAATGCAATAACACCAAATGCTGCTACGATTAATAAAAATAGTGCTTTGGTTGGGAAATATTAGAGACCCTTTAAAAGATGTCCATATGCCAAGGTTCAGAGAATTGCCCAAAGCACCAGAAGGCCAACCTATGGATGGCCATGTTTTAGAAGTCTCTAGTGACTCATGCAGCCATATATGTATAAACTCTTACAGCTTTCCTTTCTTAATGCTTGTATATTTAGAACAACAAAACATAAACTGAGACATACTATGTATGTCTCAGAAGTCAGTATGACTCAGAAGTCATTCTCATCATGATTTATTAACCCTCAGATAAATGAAAGCAGGATTGCAGCTTGTTCTATTTTTATTACTGTCCGTCCTCTTGTATCTTAATTCCTTTCATATTGTTTCTCACTGTAGCTTGTTACATAATATCTAAAAATAGATGCTAATTATAGTCGCCTATACATTGTCATTGTGGAATGGTGTCTCAATTTTCCTATGGCTTCCCACCCCGCTTCCCCTAAGAACAGGAGGAAAAGATTGTGTACTGAAAATGAGGTATTAGCATACATTCATGGGGGGCGGGGGTGTTTGTGTTCTTACAGGTTTGCTTAAATTGGTGTTTTGTGACTGGCAAACCTTTTTAGGGGAATACCCATGATATTTCATAATTTTTTTAACATAACTCCTGTTATAGGCAATCATAAACAATTAAGTGCCAATTCCAGTTTCAAAAGTCCTTGTACAATGTCCTAGCAATACTGGAGAAGAAGACACAATTTGTTTGTTTGTGTTTTATTTAAAAAAATACAACTGTTTTAATGACCAAGAATAATAATTTTTAAAAGTGAGTGAAGACCCCATTTCAAACTTTCAGAATTTTTATTGTAGTTATCAAATACAAGTCTAAGATAGTATTGGATATATTCCCTGGAGTTATTAATAAAAATAATGAAGCTGGGATAAAAAATAATGAATTAACTTAATTTGGCACCAGGCTAAGACACTAGGAAACAATGAGTTCTAGTCCCATTTTAGGCATGTAACTTTGACTAGTCCCTCTCTCTCAGCCCAGCCACCTCACAGGAATGTTGTTGTGGGGAAAATAGAAGGAGGATGGAATAGTATGTATGTTTGCTGACTGAGTTCTTTATTAACATAATTGTGGCAGGGAGAAAAGAGAGAAAGAATCTTTTCTCTTATATGTACTCATAGTATGCTATAGAATCATCCAAACGGTATTAATACTAATACTAATTTTAATTTCAATTTTCAGTCTGTCCCGATCCTACTGAACTTTATCATTCATTTCGGTTGCCAGCCTTTTTTTTTTAAATCTAGCTTATATATATCTTTGCCATTTAAAACAACTGTAGTCTTTTAAATTAGGAAATTATATTCAATAAGGTACAGCCAGCCCCTCACTTAACCATTTATTTAACCAAGGTTACAAGGCCGGAGAAAAAGTCACGTATGATCTGTCCTCAAATTTATGACTGTCACACACCACCCACAACTACGTGATCTTAATTGGCACTTGGCAACTGGCTCCCATTTTTGACAGTTGCAGCATTTTGCAATCGTGAACGTGATGTGTCATCTTTCCTGTGGGTTTCTGACAAGCAAAGTCAGTTGGGGAAGCCAGAGTCGCTTAACGATGACATGATTTACTTAACAACTACATGATCCACTTAATGACTGCAATAAAATTGGTCATAAAATCAGGTTTGATCAATTGTAGTTGTAAATTGAGGACTACTGCGTGCATGAATGTGCAACTGCGCAGGGATATGGTCTAGTGTAGAAGTAGCAATAGCAGTTAGCAGTTAGACTTATATACCGCTTCATAGGGCTTTCAGCCCTCTCTAAGTGGTTTACAGAGTCAGCATATCGCCCCCACAGTCTGGGTCCTCATTTCACCCACCTCGGAAGGATGGAAGGCTGAGTCAACCTTGAGCCGGTGAGATTAGAACCGCTGAACTGCAGATAACAGTCAGCTGAAGTGGCCTGCAGTACTGCACCCTAACCACTGCGCCACCTCAGCTCTAAGTAAGCCACAAAGTGCTCTATAGTTTAGCGAGTAAGGAAGTAGGAGATCATGCTGTAATTTAAGTTGTGAAGTTGTAGTTTAATATCCCTTAACTGCATGTTCACCTGCATGGCTGTGTAAAAATGTAAACATTCAAATTTATGCAGATGAAAAATATATTAAACCTATAAAATCACATTCCTTAATCTGAAGTAAAAGCAGAAGGTGGGGGTGGGGAAAATGTTTCAAAACAATTGCAACAGTGGCTAAGACGCTGAGCTGGTTGATCAAAAAAATCGGCAGTTGGAATCCCTAGTGCCGTGTAACAGAGTGAGCTCCCGTTACTTGTCCCACCTTCTGCCAAACTTAACAGTTTGAAAGCATGTACAAATGCAAGTAGAAAAACAGGGACCACCTTGGTGGGAAGTTAATAGCGCTGGCTCTTCGGCTTTGAAAAGGAGATGAGCATGGCCCCCTAGAGTCAGGAACAACTAGCATATATGTGCAAGGGGAACCTTTACTTTTTACCTTTTAGAAAACTATCATGAGAACAGTCTTGGAAAAAATGGAATATTGAAAGAGAAAGAGCATCAGGAGTATTGGTTTGGTAGTACCTTGTGTACCATACAAATAGTGAAAATCATAGACACAGGACAAAGTGATTGTGCAGTGTGCTCTGAATTGTTGTGAAGCTGCTAGATAATTCAGATTTAAAGGACTCCAGCTTTGACTTAGTATTGTATCTTTCCAATCAGTTTGATTTAGGATGTGGTTTAATCTAATGTTCCTGCTTCCTGGTTTATGGTAACACTTCTGAATTTAACAATAGCATCACAGACTAGACTTCTTCCAGAAATTCAGCTATTTATTACTACAGTTCATTGTGAAAACTTGAATCAGAGGAGGGGTGGGAAACAGCATTCTAAATTCAGTATGTTAGGGCAGTATCCTTAATAAGTCAACTCACAATGTGCAAGATTTCCAGTTATCAAAACTCCAGCCAAGACTGTGAACTAATCAAAAGGCATAGGGGAAGGGGAAAAAGCTTGTATTAAAAACATGAAGTCTGCATTTAACCAGAGTCTAAAATGAATTATTGAAGGGAATTGCAAACATTTCAACCTTTTTAATAACATCAGTTAGTTGAAAAGGTCTTCTCAGAGTCCTGTTTTGCAAGAATCTCCTCACCCCATTTCAGAATTCACTACTAACTGCAAATTAATAGCAGTATTTTTAGCTTGTTTATAAGTTACTAGAAATTGCAAGTGAGCAATGGAAGGCCAAATTTGTTGCTAACATCCAATTTATTAAAGGTGGCAAGCAGCATGTGGTGGATTGCTACCGGTTTGGATGAGTTCAGTCAAACCGGTAGTGGTTTGGCAGCCTGGGTCATTGGAACCGGCAGTGCATGCGCATGCATCAAGCACATCTGTGAAGCACACACACACGAGCGAACCAGCAGTAGTGCCAGCCAGGACCCACCCCTGGTGTGCAAATTAAATGGAAAACTGTTCAGTGATTTGTTTCCTTTTTGGTAGTGATCGGCTAGCAGTCACCCTTCAGTTGGCCCAAAATGAAACAATTATCCACCATTGGATAGCATTCTATATTAACACATCTGTAACAGCAACTTCTTGTATCAGAACATGGTGTGACTTGTTTTCTTTTAAAGATGAAAGCACTAAAACTCCTCTGAGTAATATAACAGGCACATCACATGATGATCCCTTAATGAGTTCTCTATTAAAAATCCCATGTAATAATGTTTCACAGACATACAGAAGCCATTTGCTTAAATGGTTTTCAGACAAAATCTTTGATTTTTTTTTGTTTATGCACCTCACTAATCTAATAATCAAAATATAATCTCTTTAAGAGCAAGATTATTCTGAATGCAGAACTTCACCAATAAAGGGATGCAATAAAAACATTAGTGGAGCGCTTTGTAGATTATACATAAACAAAGGATTTAGTGTGGCTATTTTTTTCACCCTAAAAAGGTTCTGTGGTTATCTCAGAAAAGTCCTGTTTATTAAGTAGTTCCTTAGAAACTTCTGTTTACACTAAATGGGAACTGAAGATGGGTTACATAGAATTCTATTCTTGCATTTTTATCACAACAAAAAGTAGGTTGAGCTGAGAGAGAGATTGGCCCATAAACATCCAGTCAGTTTCCCTAGCTAAGGGCAGGCCCGAACCTGGATTTTGCCGGTTCTAGTCCTAGAATCTCCATCATAACACCACATTGGTATGTATTATAACAATATTTGATGAACACCTACTCAGAAGCAAGTCCCAAAATTGGAGCCTCTCAGATTTTCCATTTGCAAAATTGTGCAAAGTATTTTGGAAGCTGAGATTTAAATGATGCAAGAATTTTGCAATCTTTATAATGTCAAGGTGGGAGGAAGGTATTTCTAATTACTAATGTGGGGCAGGACTTCTGTCTTTCCTCAAAGCAAAATTTGTTTGCTTGGTTATTTTATATATAATGTTTCTGTTATAATAGTTCCCAATATGATTTAGAATGAACACAAATTACAGCTATTCAAAATAAAAATAATAAATCTAATCAATATTATTTACAAACCCATCAAGCAGCAATCATTGTTTTTCTTGCCTTTGTTGTTGTTCCTTTGAGGTTTGCATAGCCTATCATTGGTTGTAACTTTGGGATATACATTATAATTCTACTGGTCCAATAAGTGCATAAATTCTCATCTAAATCAGAATTAAGCCAGCTTCAAGGCTGAGGAAAATGACAACCCAGGGAATACAGTTCTGGAAACTGCCTCTAATCTCAAGGAGGGAATCAGGTGAATTCTGTGATCCCTGGAAAACTGCCAAGGAGGTCATATTGAAGTACCCAAATCCATCAAAGACTTGACTTCTGCCAGATAGAAATAGAAATGCCAATGGGAATAATGGAGGTGGCTGATTTCTCTCATCAGAGTTTTCTCCTCTCTTAGAAGATGCACCAATGGAAAAGGAAGGTCAATTGGAAGCTTGCAAGGGTTGAGAACTGAAATGGGCCCTTACATTGTCTTGCTGCTCCTTACTTTGTTTCAAGTGAATTAATACTTCCACAATATTTGTGGTGCCACAAATTTCTGATGATTTTAGCAAAGTGGCATAATACTGAAAAATGATATTGAAATGCAATTTCTCTTCTTTGCATGTTTTCCTTTCCTTCTTTATCTCCAGTATGTGGAAAAGGTCAAGTGGTTACAGGGCAGTATCGCATGCTTGCCAAGCATGGCGGCTATGTGTGGCTTGAAACCCAAGGAACAGTCATCTACAATACTCGGAACTTGCAACCTCAGTGCATAATTTGTGTTAACTATGTTCTAAGGTAAGGCAGCTGAAATCCCGAGAATGAGAATTGATTAAGAAGCAATACAGGCTGAACAGTTTTGCTTATTTCTGTAGGACATCTCAAAGATGCTTTTTCCTTGAGGAAGATGTTTCACTTCTCATCCAAGAAGCTTCTTTAGTTCTGACTGAATAATGGGGATTGAACTGACCTGAAAGAAATTTCTTGGATGAGAAGTGTAATGTCTTCCACAAAGAAAAAAACAAAGTTGGACAACCATTTAAATATGAGCCAGCAGTGTGCAGCAGCTGCCAAAAAAGCCAACACAGTTCTAGGCTTCATAAACAGAGGGATAGAATCAAGATCACGTGAAGTGTTAATACCACTCTATAATGCCTTGGTAAGGCCACAATTGGAATACTGCATTCAGTTCTGGTCGCCATGATGTAGAAAAGATGTGGAGACTCTAGAAAGAGTGCAGAGAAGAGCAGCAAAGATGATTAGGGGACTGGAGACTAAAACATATGAGGAATGGTTGCAGGAACTGGGGATGTCTAGTTTAATGAAAAGAAGGACTAGGGGAGACATGATAGCAGTGTTCCAATATCTCAGGGGTTGCCACAAAGAAGAGGGAGTCAAACTATTTTCCAAGGCACCTGAGGGTAGAACAAGAAGCAATGGGTGGAAACTAATCAAGGAGAGAAGCAACTTAAAACTGAGGAGAAATTTCCTGACAGAACAATTAATCAGTGGAACAGAAGTTGCCTCCAGAAGTTGTGAATGCCCCAACACTGGAAGCCTTTAACAAGATGTTGGATAGCCATCTGTCTGAAACGGTATAAAGTTTCCTGCCTAGGCAGGGAGGTTGGACTAGAAGACCTCCAAGGTCCCTTCCAACTCTGCTCTTGTGTTGCTGTCTTGCTGTTGCCTTTTGAGAAAGCATATTTGAGACAGCCATTACCTAGACACTTTTTATGAAGCCATATGCAAATTCCTCAAATAACAGGGCAAGGATGGAGTGGGGAAACTGTTGGAGAATCCCAGGGCCAGAGATGGTTGTAAGCCAACAATATCTAGTTGTTCAGATCTTTGGTTAGCTCTCTTATTTCTATCCTTTGTATTTACATGAATACTGTCTTCCATAATACAAAATATATAATACTTTATCTTGTTAGTGAAATAGAGAACAACGACATTGTCTTCTCCATGGATCAGACAGAATCACTATTTAAGCCTCATATGATGGCCATGAACTCTATGTATGACCATGGAATTCCAGTGGCTGATAAGAGTGACTTCTTATTCACCAAGCTGAAGGAAGAACCAGAAGAACTTGCTCAGTTGGCACCAACTCCAGGCGATGCAATTATTTCTCTTGACTTTGGTTAGTAATATTTTGGGAAGAATAAGTGATGACAATCATCTTCCCTTTGTATAGTAGTTAACCACAAGAGAGTTAGTAGATTGTAGCATCTCCCACAAAGTATCAGATAAACACAGTGATGGAGGGATGGATGGATAATTAGTATTATGTTTCATACTGAATTATTACTCTAACTGTAGATATTTTAATTCTTGATTATATAGAGCACAAGCAACCAAGAGTTATTTTGATTGTAGCAGAGTGGAAGTATGATTAATTGATTGATTGGTATTGATTGATTAAAGAAGGTCATTTATTGACATACATATCAGTTTCTTCAAACTTATAAAAAAAGCATTAGTGACCATTGAATAAGGCCTAATATCTCCCACTAAATTAAAATTTAGCTATCCGCTATTTGGGGAGTAAGGTAAGCTTCCCCATCTGAATATATATATCCCAATTTGTTTTCTTTTTCTTAAAAAAAGTACTAGGATTGCTAGTACCAAGGATGAGCTGACCTTGCTTGCCTCAATTTCAGGAACGCAAAAGCTTGAGGAAATTCCTACCTACAACAAAGCTGTGATGACTTCAAACACTCCGTGGTCTCCAGAAGGGAAGAACCAGGCATCCCAGGCTGAAAAGCTGACTGTACCATCATTTACCTTGCCTCAAGTGGCACCTGGCAGCAGCACCCCCAGTGCAAGCAGCAACAGCAGCTGTTCCACCGTAAGAAAGAATTTTGCATTGAAATACGGCAGCATTGCCAGCTTTGAAGTACAGGGTGGTTTTTTTCAGCAGCACTAACTGGAATTATAGTAGAAATAGGTTTTTTTTAAGGGATTACTTCCAGTTGCCTTTATCCACTGAACCCAAAACCTATATAAAATATCAGATTAGTTTGGTGTAATCCTACTTCATTCAGGACATAAAAATGAGAGAAAAGGAATGACATTTTCAGAGAATGTATCAGTAAGACACACACACACACACACACACACACACACCGGTAGCTTAGAAGGGGAGCAGCCATTCCCAAACTTTAAGAGGTTAATATGGAAAGTCACCAGTAAATACAAAGGCAAGATCGGGAAAGAAGTGCTCCCATACAGAAATGCAAATATTTCCCATTATCTCATCTAATTATATATCAATCTTTAAGGCCAGAAGCAGTGGGACCCAGTTTACAATTCTCTCACTCAGTGGAGTTTTGGCTAAATCAGCCCTGATCCCTGAATCAGCAGAAGGAGAACAAAGAAGCACAATTCAGTGTGCTCTGTTTCTGTCAGCATTTTTGCATCATATTTTGAATGTGAAGCAAGACACATCTTTGCATCTCCAAGCGATAAGAAGTGGGAGTATCAGGACAGTTGGCCACTTCTTTTCTTTCTGATGTTTCATTCTATGAAGCTGACTGCATTATGGCCATTTGTGTACTTGCTGATAGTCTGTCTTCTCATTTCATCCTAAAGCCAAGTAGCCCAGGAGATTATTACACTTCTTTAGATGAAGACCTGAAGATAGAGATGATTGAGAAGCTTTTTGCCATGGACACAGATGCCAAGAATCAATGCAGTTCACAGGTAAGAGAAATCATAAATAAATTAGCATCAAACCAAAACTCAATAGACCATGTTGTTTCAGTTCCTTCCATGCAGACTTAAGAGTCAGTGGCTACTCCTCTTATTCATTAAAATGGGAAGCAGTTATAGAGCAGGAGTTCTGCATTAATGGGAGAGATATAATGGGAAAATCATTTCCATTTCCTTAGACTGGGCTTTTCAACTTGGCAATGTCAGGCTACGGCAGGGGTGTCAAACTCGATTTTGTTGAGGGCTACATCAGGATTGTGTTTGACCTCGGGGAGGGCAGAGTGGGCGAGGCCAGGATGGGTGTGGCCAACTTGACATCACTCATGTTGGGGGCACCCATGGTGGGCTGAGTACTATGGAAGAGAAAATGGGCTCCTGATCCATTTTTGTTACAATGGTCTCTTACAATCCTCTATCAGCGAAAACAGAGTTTGGGAGGACCACGTGTGGCCCTCCTGAATTCCATTTTCACTGGCAGAGGCACTGCGGGCCAGTCCTTCATTGTTTCCAGGATGGCCCCACGGGCCAGATCTAAGCACCCCGTGGGTCAGATCTGGCTCCGGGGCCTTGAGTTTGACACCCCTGGGTTAGGGGCTCTTTATATAACATATATAACTTTATATAACATATATGACAGATGCTGCAATTTCCATCATTCTGAGTCATTGTGCTATAGTATTGTAGTCTAAAACACCTAGATGGTTGGTGAATTTAATTTGAATTTGGGAAATTGCAAATCTATATCCTACATAGAGTAAGGCATATTGTGCCTTAGACATTATTCTGGGACATGAGAGAAGAGAGGGATTCTAGTTTTCTATTTTTAAATTGTACATTTGTTTTTCTTCGCTACCCCGCCCCTTTTAATTTTCATTGGACAGAGTGACTTCAATGAACTGGATCTTGAAACTTTGGCTCCTTATATTCCCATGGATGGAGAAGATTTCCAGCTGAGCCCTATCTGTCAAGAGGAGCGTCCTCTGTGTGAAAGTGTCCAGCTTCCCCAGCACAGCTTAAGTAACATGAACAGTCTCTTCCAACCACTTGCTCCCTCTTCCCAAAGCGACTTCCTGCCAGAGAAATATTGCCAGCCAGGATCTGACAAAAGCATCCCAGCAGGCCAAGGGACTCTGCCACTGGCATTCTTCAACCATGGGAGTCAGTCATCCTCATTCTTGCTGCCCTACTATGCACAAGCCAACACTCCACTGTCTTCAATGGGAGGGAGACCAAACACACAGTGGCCACCTGACCCACCATTACAGTATGTGCCAACAAAATGGAGAGGAATCAGCCATAAGTCTTTAACAAGCTCTGCATCAGACCCTCCATCACTGCATTTGCCCAGCAGAAGCACAGATAGGAAAAGGTAATTCAACACAGAAAAGGACTTTGAAGATAATAAACAAAAGCAGTTTAAATATAACAAAATAATAACTAGATTTTACATTTTCCACATATGTTCATGCTTGTGTAGGCAAGTGGTTGAATAAAAAAAAAAGAAATGAAAAATACAATATGTGTGAATAGCAAAACAGAAATATCAGAGCAAAGCTTGTTATCATATAAAAATAAAAAGTTCCCAGCAAAACCATTTGTCAAAGGGTCAGAGAAAGATCATGGTTTTGTATGCCTATTTTTAAAGACGTTATCAGAGCTACAGTTAAAGAGATTATATGCTAGCAGTTGAAAGTTACTTCATGGCACATAATCATATCTCTTCATTAAAAAAAAAACTTTAAAAAGTGCTCACATACTGTGAGAGTATTTGCACAGTGTATGCGTTCAACAACTTTTTTCTAATCACTGCAGCTGAGCAAGGATTCCACTTATTTCATTAGTCATCCTTTCATCCAAAATAGAAAAGGGAAAAAACTTGAGGAAACAATGAGTGTTGTTTGACTCTCTGGGTGGAGATCTGAGTGATCCACAGTTTTAATCAATTTTATGTCTATTTTGAAATTTCCCTAAAAGTCATGAGCTGCACCAAGCATTTAACTATCTTTTAACAAACCCACATACTTTCAAAGGAGGATGAGAACTGTACATTCCCTGGAAATTATGCCAGGTGATAATCTAGTGTGAGTATCAAGGGCATTGCATGGAGGAAGAAAATGAGGCTGTACCCCAAAGTGTGTATTCACCCATCCATCTGAAGTCCTCTCTTGGTTTGAGAGGAGCTTAGCATACATTCCTATCTCCAAACTATCTGAAATATTAAGTCCTTTCCCCTCAGCATACCACAATGTAGGGGAGGAGTACAAAACATATAATTATTGTTCTGAGCATTCCTCCGTGCCTCCACCAACCTTGCAGACTATAAACTGTACAGGGAATCTGCTCCAATTGCACCTAAGAAAATTAAACTTCAAGAATACCAAGTCCACCTGTGTCTTATCATCTTTTGGAATGAGTCACTCAAGACACAATGAAACTGAGTATTCTCAATAGTGATTAAGGAGTTGGAGAAAGACTGAAGAGACTTAGATTACTAATTGTACTGGGTTACTTTGGGCTGGTCACTTTTTCTTAATTTAACCAGCCTCCACAATATTGTTGTAGGAAAAAAATAGAATTTTTTTAATGTATTTTGCCTTGAGTTTCTGACCGAGAACAATATATAAATCTGACAAATAAAATCATAATTAAAATAATAAAAGGTTGGTACAGCCAATAGGGAAGGGATCCATATGATTCACTTTATCCATGAGGGGGTGGTTTTGAAGCAACTCCCAGACCACCATTTATCTTTGCACAATTTATTAACTTTAAAGATAAACAAACTGCTAATGTTGACTTTGGGTATCAATGAGTGAATGAATGTCTGTGGCGCAAGCTAGTGATTTGCCCACATCAGAGAGTCAACAGTACTTAAGCAATAGAAACTAACTGCAGAAAACAGTTGTTGAGCAATGGTTAAATAAAGTGTTATTATCAATTTGCACAGCTCACTCTGTTCTTTCCAATTCAGCTTTCTGATAGGACATTTTACAGAAATAATGCTTCAATTTTATTAACATTGACACACCTTATGAATGTTCATCATTTATTAATGTTTATCATTGTGCCAGCTATGAATCTCATAGCTGTTCTCACTATTAGCCACTTTTGTCTTAGTAAAAAATATTCTAGCAAGCTTCTGATTTAACCATTGATAATAGGAACATTTCTGAAAAAAGAAAAGATTTCTGCAGACCAACATGTCACATTTCTCTGCATTAAAATAAAGCTTGTTTCAATAATTTTTTAAAATGGTTTGTTTTGATAGGTCACTGGAAAGTTTTGGACAGCGTGGCATAGATATAAATCCAGCCCGAATAGCTCTTGCTAACAGTCTGAAGTTGAAGCGGCAGTTAGATTATGAGGACCAAACATTTCAACATCTGAATGGGGTAAATTTATTAGGAGTGATCACTGTATTTTGCCTTTCATGGTTTTAAATATAAGGTTGTACAAGTTTCATTCTTTGAGTAGCTTATGTCTTCCTGTTTTACCTTACCTACCATAGACACAAGATGACATATCTGGCCTTAATCCAGCCCACTTAATGTTGAAAAGGATGAAAATTCTCAGAAGTGAAAACTGTGCATTGCTTTCAGAAAAGAAGTCACTCAGCACAAGTGTCCTTAATGGTAAGAATTTTTATAAATTAGTAATATAGCAATAGCAATTTAGATTTATATGCCCATAGTACTTTACTGCAGTCTCAGATCAGTTTACAAATGTCAGCATATTGCCCCCAACAATCTGGGTCCTCATTTTACTGATCTCAGAAAGATGAAAGCTGAGTCAACTGTGGGATGACTCAGCTTCCATCATAATTTAAATGTTTTAAAAAGAAGCTTAGACACCTGCATAATGGCCACTAGCCGTATGTTGGCTATTTACCTCCTCTAGGATTAGAAGAGATATGTCATAATAAACAACAACAACAATAACAATAATAATAATTTCTGGCAGCAATCCGTAAATGCTGCAGCAACCCATATCAACCATTAGTGCCAGTCAATAATATTTGTAATACATTTTTAAATGTTCAGTTGACTGAATTTCAGGTTTAATTAATAAAAGTATATAACAACAACAACAACAACAACAACAATCCAAAGCAGTCCTACCTACTTTTCAGTATCATATATTCACAAGGTCAATACACAACTGTCAAAATACCTTTAAGTTTTTCACCTATCTTTCAATGACTTTTGGCAAGAGTAGGAATATCTCTATATTATATATGAATGAAAACTGAGTGCATGAATTCATTGTTAATATCTAATCTATTTATGCTTCTACTTAGCTCCATCTTCTATTACTGCCCATTATATGTATGCATAAACTAGTTCTAACCTTGAAAAATCTTTGTAACTTGAGATATTATGAACTGAAGCTCACCATTAAATTGACTCTAGTGGCTGCTTAATTTCCTTCTGCACATGTTTGCAATCTGGAGAGTATCCATAGAGAATAATTCATCATTCCTGAAATTGCCTTAGAAAAACATGAATCTTCTATCTGCCCCACCACCATCACCACACACAAATACTTTCCCAGGCAAAATATAAACATGGCTATCTGAAGTCTTCTGTTTCTAATAGTATTTTTAAAGCCAATTTTTAATTTTGTAATTGTAGATAAGTTTCTTTATAACCTACAAAGATGCCCAGGCCAGCCAGCACATGTGATGCAGCAACAACAGCAAGATGTACCCCTGTCCTCTGGCAACTCTGCAAATAATTCCAAAGCTGTGTACTCTCCACCTTTTTACAAAACCCCTTATCAGGACTTCAGTGTATCGCAAGCTCATAGGATGTCAGGTAAGTGTCATGTCAAATTTAGAAAGATTACATACAGTAATGAAAATTTTGCTTTTAAGAAAGATACAAGTGCTTTAAACATTCCCTTTAGTAGTTGGGGTGGGCTCTTACTCTGAGATGTTGAAAGTAGTCTAACCTCATTAACAAATAATAGCAGTTAGCAGTTAGACTTATATACCGCTTCAGAGGGCTTTCAGCCCTCTCTAAGCGGTTTACAGAGTCAGCATATCACCCCCACAGTCTGGGTCCTCATTTCACCC